CAAATGGATATTGTCCTGTTTTGTGAAAAGAATTTTCGGGTAGTGAGTAATATTGTTCTGCTTTGGGAATACAATTTCCAGGTAGTGAGTAATATTGTTCTGTTTTATGAAAAGAATTTCCGGATAGTGAGTAATATTGTTCTGTTTTGGGAATACAAATTCCGGGTAGTGAGTAATATTGTTCTGTTTTGGGAAAAGAATTTCCGGGTAGTGAGTAATATTGTTCTGTTTTGGGAATACAATTTAAAACCATTCTATTTGATAGGGATCTTGATGAATATCTCTATTATAAATGTCTTAACTGCCCTTGTTTAGGTTTGAAAAAATAAGAGAATCAAACTTTTCCATTTTGATGTATTTTCTTACTGTTTTCCTATATCATATTTTCACTTATTCCATGTAAAAAAATGGTGTAAAAAATCCGACTATAGTTGATCATTTTCTGATTACCAATCTGTTATAATGGCAGTATTTGAACACCATTTTGATCAGATTTTTTTCGGATTTGAGTCATTATAATAAATTATTTGAAAATTTAATTGATGTTTTACATAGGATTCGACCTTGTTTTACTGGTCATTCGATCACAACTTGCTATTGTTTCATTAATCAATTTTAACCTGCTTCTGCGTTATTCGAGTGTAATTATGAATTAAAAAGTAGTGTAAGCAATCATAATCTGTTAAGAGCAAAATAAACGGATTAAAACTAAATAGATCATTCATCGATTAATCAGATTATAATTTAAAAAATTTATTTTAACTGATTGAAATAGTAATAAATTAAAATCGATTATGCTTTTACTCGATTATTCAGATTATCATAAAAAAAAAACGTTTTAAGACATTGATACTATAATACATTCAAATTGAGTATTTTGTAAAATTAACCTGAAAAAACTACTTTCAATCTAATTATTGCCATTATTTTTGAGAAAATCGATTACAATCTGATGTTTTCTACAATTTTTTACAAAGGAAAGAGCCTATATCGCGAAAACTTCGTATCTCAAAGAGGCTCTTTTCAAAAAAATCTGAATGCTTCCATGGAAGCTATTTTAGTTAAGATGTTGATGCAAGTAAAGTTTTAGATCAAAATTCAAAAATCTACTTTCGCTGGAAAGCGGGGATCCTACAGAAAAATTTCGCTAAAAACTCAATATTCTAGCAACAAAGATCCAGGAAATCGAACCATTCTATGGTGCCTGCGTACTGACTAGGCCCCATCGACTATACACAGTTACACCATATGAGCGATTAACCACCTGCGAGATTTCCTCGCCAATAGCTTATATCAAAATTAAAATGCAATTAAACTTGCTCGACGTATAGAAATCGAAATAGCTACTTCACTTGTTATTTACTCGTTTTTTTCAGTCACCAAATCCATGTGAAAGCTATGGACTAGTCATGAAAATGATTTTCGAAAGTTTCTTTATAAAATCACATTACAAGATCACCCTTAAAAGTAGACTCCTCCTCGAAAGTTATTGTGCTCACACGCATTAGAACGCTAGGACATTCTAATGCGGAGAAGGGTTAGCTACACATGTACTGAGACCGGACTACTCGGTCTTGGTCCAGATCTCATCCTACATCAAGTTATATATAGACCAAAATTGTATGAAACTGTGTTTTCGAGGCTCATTCTATGTTGACAAGCGGTACCGGCTCGAAATTTCGATTTTTCGTCACTGCGGCGGCCAAGCTGCATCTTGCGATCGATTTTGTTACATGCGTAGAGTTGGCGTAAAAGAAAATGAGACTGGCAAAGAAGATTCTAATTCGTATTGAAGCATGTCATGTTTTCTATCGCTACTGTTCGTCAGTACAACATCACTTGATTTCATTTCTGATCATGATAATATGTTTCAGATGATTCAAAACTGATCAGTTACATTCCTCAATCGGGATTCTAGAATTTGATTATATACAAAGATAAAAAAAAGCTATAAACAATCAATTTCAAACAAAAGAAGTCGACAAACAATTCCAATGTTGCCGAACTTGTCGTTTCAATGGCAATTTGGCTTTAGTCAAACACAAAATAAAAAATTAGTCATATCACACGCACATTTTATTTCTATTCTTGTTTTTCTCTCGGTTGTCTGTCTTTCTCTCCTTTATGAGCGAACTTGTTGACAGTAGAATGATAGAAACGAACAGTCAGGTTTATCTTACTTGTATTACCCTCTTTTTATCAATATATATGACGGAGATCAGAAAAAGACAGAAGAAAAAGACAAAAACAGAATTGTGTGAATGTACACGTGCGCCATGTAACTATCTCCCTTCACTATTTACCATCTGATAAAAGCGACATTAACATCGATATGTGGTAGTATTGCAGTAGAAAGAATTCATCATGTTCGAAAGTGCATCGAGATACTGATTATTATCAGTCCGAATTCATTGCCAAACTAAACGTTTCGATTATGGAATCAGTTTTTAGGTTGAAAAAAGTCATAAATATCGATATATATGTATATAATTGCAACAAGTGAACCAGACTATTAAGACGCAACGGGTTTACCAGATCATTCTAGGTAGATTCTATATGAAAACAGTAGTGTTTTCAATAAAAAGTGGAGGATCTCTCCAGAAGTGTGACGTATGGGCTAAGATCTGTGTGTTGTTGTGAAAAATCTCGTGAATGCGTACCTTTATTATCAGCGGGAATTGTTGAAGCATTCACAACAAATGCAATACCACTTGGCAGAGCCACTGCTACCATTGCAGTCCCAGAGGTATGACCAAAATTCAATTGAGTACGAGACCAATGTTGTTGACCAGCAGTTCTAGCTTTGGTGGCAAACGAGCGACGTGTAGCCGTCGAAAACAACAGACGGGTTATGAGACGTGGCCCTATTCTAATATTCTAGAATTCTAATATTTTAGAATACATATATATGAAATGATTTCATATTACTTAGGGCATACCAAAAGTATGGGCAGTGACTAGACATGTGCGGGACCAACTTTTTTTGGTCCCGGTGAAATTGAATTTTGGTCCCGGTCTGGTCCCGGTCCTGGTAAATTTTTTTTTGGTCCCGGTTTGGGTCCCGGTGAAAATTTTCATTTGGTCCCGGTCCCGGTCCCGGTCCCGGTGGAAATTTTCCTTTTGCTGCTGATTCCGGCGAAATTCTGTTTTTTAGTCCTGGGCTCAGTTAACACATTCGCTACGATGTGGCCTAACAGTGAGCCACGCTACATTTTAACGAGAAACTGTATAGAAAAGTACTTTATTTTTCTTTGTTCTTAGACAGGAGGCTGAACATAATGCTTTATCTGTTCTGCCTTCAGAGCTCTTTTTGAGTCCGTTATTCCATAGCATGATGGGTCTTGTTAAAAAAATCAAGACAAAAAAAATTGTTACTCACAACAGAACGTTTTTACTTTCTTTGCTACCGCATAGCTCGCTTCTCTTGACTGCTGTGCCCTTCCTTTCGCAAAGCAGCCAGTACAGCGTCTGCGGACATTGCCCTTAAATCCTTCCTTTTCTTCGAGCTTGCGATTAGTGAATTCGCGCTTGAATTGGGTTGCTGATTCAACTTCTCGAATGGCATGTCATGCTGAAATGACCTCACAGGAGTTTCGCCAAACTACAGGATGGTTACTTCGCTACATGTGATATTACAAATGGAAGAGAGAAAACGACAGATCAGTATAGGATGAAAAGACCAAGCAGTGCATTTATCGCAAGATGAATGCAGAAGAAAATGAATCTCTAGAGCTACTCTTTAATAAAACCGAATCGCGTTGAATGTGTTAAATTTGGTTTTTGTTCCACACCCAGTCTAAGTAACCTTACTTTTTCTGTTATTTGTCCATAGTCAGAGAAGTTGTTGCAGAATCTGCCGGTTTTAGATCTGGAGCAGTTCTCACTTCTATTTCCGCCGATGTTTCTTATCAACGACAAACATGACCGGGACTAAATTGTTTTTCGATCCTGGTCCCGGTCCCAGTAAAATTCTATTTTTTGGTCCCGGTCCCGGTCGCGGTCCCGGTAAAATTCTATTTTTTGGTCCCGGTCCCGGCTACCGGGACCGGGACTGGGACCGGGACCGGGACCGGGACTGGTCCCGCACATGTCTAGCAGTGACACTTTTATATCCTGTAGTAGGCTTTAAGAAACTTTCTTTCTATATAGTCTGATAGAGAAAAAAATGCTCTATCTTTCTATACTATTTGATCGTACTTCAACTAATCTCATAATATTAAATTATCCATAAAACCAATTTCGGCTGATTATGCGCTGGTTGTACTAGATTACAATGTGCGAGAACAGACTAGTTTTCAATCCCTTAATATATTGTATGAACCACCAAAATGTACCATAAGATGCAGCGTGAAAAGCTCTACAATTTACATAAGGCCACTTATTTTATAGCTGCACTTTTTGTTTTCAAAATCGATAAAGTTTTGAGGGATTGTTACCAAGCTATTTATTTCAGGAGAAATTCCCCCTTTATATATACCAGCGTGAGAGACGAAATTTGGGTCAATTTAACAAAGGAAAATTGCGCAGTTGAATTTTAACAAAGAAATGACGAGACTAACTGCGCAATACGAGAACAATGTATGAGAAATTCAATGATTCTCATACAGAAGAAAGAAACGAAGAGAAGAGAGAAGAAGAAGAGAAAAAAAAAGATTGACCTAGATTTAGTGCTAGTGGACATCGAGGAGAGAACGAAAGAGAGGAAAATAAACATATACATATCATATAACACGTGTCTAGTAAATCGTACTGTTAGAGCACTCTCTAACACTACCCCCACGCTCATTAGAATCGGCATTGCCCGATTTACAAAAAATTTCTTAACCTAGTACATTGTAGAAACATTCTGATCAAAAAAAAAAACAAAAGCAAAGAGAAAATAAACCCACTAATCTAATGAAACAAAGTCTCTTCGTGTAATACCCAATGAAGGTGGTTCAACGTCAAGTAAATCTTCCATTGGTAAAATTGATACATCAAATACCTTCACCAGATCAAATTTAATACAGAGCTGTTGAATTTGTTCGTGGATAAAATGAACGTAATCGATTGACGTGGACATTGACGATTTCATATAGATCATTAGGATTTTGTATTCGATACGTGGATTCATTTAGTTGTTGAATTATTTGATATGGAGCATCATATTTTGGTGCTAATTTATGATGTAATCCTAATCGTCTCACGTAAACAAAATCACCAATGAAGTAAGTGTTGTTTGTACGATTAGCATCATATCGTTGTTTGGATCTTCTTTGACTATGTAGAATTTGTGTATGAGCTGTTTGTTTTGCTGATTCCAAATATTCTTGTAATTGTTTAACATATTGATGTGGTTCGATGATTGTTGTTGCTTGTTCTGGTAAGTCAAAGGGTAATTTACATATTCGTCCAAATATCATCTCGTATGGTGTTAATGTTGTGGCTACGTGGCGGCTTGGGTTATAAGCAAATACTGATTTCGATAATTGTTGATCCCAATCAGTTCGTTTGCTATTACATATTGATGCCAAACTATCACACATAGATGAATTGAACCGTTCACAAACACCATTTGATTTTGGATTATATGGCGTTGAAAATATATGACAAATTCCATATAAAGACATAATGGAGTTGATTAATTCAGCCGTGAAGTGGGTACCATTGTCTGTTAATATTTGATTTGGTGAACCATATTTGAATATTACTTCTTCCACTAGAATCTTTGCTGCACTTAATGCTGAATTTTCACGTGTAGCTTTTGCAACAACAAATTTGGATAGTAAATCGGTTATAACTAATATGTATCTATTTCCTGATGATGATGGTGTAATGGGACCCACAAAATCCATCGCCAAATTTTCCCATACACCTTTGGGTGGATCAACTGGATTTAAATGACCATTTGGTTTTCTTCTTGAACATTTGTTAATCGAGCAATTTGGGCAGGACTTAATGTGTTGTGCTATGTCGTGATACATTCTTGGCCAATAATACCGATCACGAATTTTGTAATATGTTCGATCTTTGCCAAAATGCGCACCATTTATTGATGAATTATGATATGCTAATAGAACATCTTTTATTTTTGCTCTTGGCACCACCGGCACCTTGATAATTCCATTAAACCTATTCACATTCCGATATAATATCCCATTCATTACACAATATTCATTGTTAAATGGCTTTTTATCAATATTTTCTATTATCTTTTGGATTGACAAATCTTGCTGTTGATTTTGTTTTAATTGTTCATTTGTAAATACGGTAATTTCATTAATTTTATTTAACGAGTTCAATTGATGAATATGTTGAACTGTTGTTGATGCAGAAGCTGTTGATTCTGGTGGATGTTGATGATCCATTCGACGAGTTATCACTGCACCTACTATTGATTGTTGTTCTTCAGTTTGAGTTGATATTGAACGTTGTTCAATTTCATCATCACAAGATGAATAAACTGGATAACGAGAAAGGCAATCAGCCACGCAATTTTTTTTTCCTTTAACATGTTCAATTTGAAATGTATACTCTTGAAGAGTCATTCTCCATCGGTTTAGCTTCGGGTTGCTGTTGTATTTGCGATTGAGCCAACATAATGCATGATGATCAGTTCGTACTATGAATTCACGACCGGCCACATAATAATTCCATTTTTTTATTGATGTAATAACAGCAAAACATTCTTTTTCAGTTGCATTCCAATTTCGTTGTTGTTTGTTTAATTTCTGAGACATAAATGCAATTGGTTGTTCTCCTTTCCCATTGTCTTGCATCAGTACTGCACCAATTCCATAATTTGATGCATCCACTTGTATGATAAATGGTATATCCGAATTTGGAAACTGAAGTAATGGTTCCGATATCAATAATTGTTTAATCTTATCAAATGAATTTTGTTGTTCGATACCCCATATAAATTTTTCGTGTTTCTTTGTTAAATCAAATAATGGTTGAGCTAATGTGGAGAAGTTGGGTATGTGATTCCGGTAGTATTCGGCCATTTTAATAAATGATGTTGCTGCTTTAATACTATTCGGTACCGGAATATCATTGATAGCACGTACTTTTTCTGGAGTTGGTGCTATACCTTCTTCGTTAATGATATGTCCAAGAAATTGAATTCTTGTTTGTACAAATTCACATTTTGATGCATTTAATCGAAAGTTGGCGTGATGTAACAGCGATAGTACTTGTTCCAGGTGATGTAAATGTTCCGACATTGAATTGGAATATATTATGATATCGTCGATATAAGCCAAAGCACAGTGCCATTGTAAATGTCCCAATAGTTTATTGATAATTCTTTGAAATGTTGGAGGCCCATTTTTAATGCCTTGAGGCATCACGTTGTATTCCCAGAACTTGTCTCTTGTAACGAATGCCGTCTTTGGCTTATCTGATTCATCGATTGGTACCTGATGGTATCCACCTTGAAAATCCAATTTCGAAAAATATCGAGATCCATTCAGTGTATCAAATATTTCTTGTATTCGAGGTAATGGATAATTGTCTTTTTCAGTAACTTCGTTCAACTTCCGGTAGTCTATACAAAATCTCCAGGATCCATCTTTTTTCTTTTGTAGCACTACCGGTGAGGCCCAAGGTGATTGAGATGGCCTGGTGATGTTGTCTCGGTGAAATTGTTCGCACATATCAGCAATAATTTTTTCTTGTGCAGACGTTTTGCGATATGGGCGTTGAACGATTGGTCGAGCATTTTTTACTTCGATGGTATGTTTAACAGTTGTATTAATTGTTGATGCTTTTGATGTATCAAATAATTGACCATATTTGATAAGTATTAATTCAGCTTGTTTCCTATCACGTGTATTTCCAATATGTTGAACTAAATTTTTTATCTCTTCGAATACGAATGAAGGAAGTTGTTCAGTTAATCCATTTATTTCACCTTTTGAATAATGACCACATTGATATAAATGTTCGAATAAATCCTTTTTTGATGTATGTTCTCGAAAACAAACGCGACATTTAAGATCAGATGGTGTATATGTTGGAACTTGTTGTGTCGGTAATAATGGAAGTGATACTGAAGATGGTGTTGAAAAAGTAATCGTACCAAGTATCGTTTTTGTATTTATATTTTGAGATGTTTCATTAGCGTTGATAATAGTAATCCATGTTGTTCCATCTTCAATTTTTAATAACGCATTTGGTATTAATATTCTTTTTTTTCTAATAATATTTTCCGATGGTGTAAATATAACTGTATCAGCATTTTTTATTTTAACACGTACAGGTATGATCATTTGTTGTTCAGGTAAAATGTTAATTCGTTGAATAGGGAAAACCGAATACATTTCTTGATCATAAGTTGAAAATGGGACGGTTACTATGTGTGATCCTTGACGTTTACGAATATTTTGTTCAGTAGTAATAATATCAATACCATTTTGTCGAATCCAATCGTTTCCTAATACTAACCCAGTACATAAATCTAAAGCAACTTCAGCTAAAACAAATGTTGGAATGTGTTTCAAATTAATTTTTAGCTTTACCAAACCAATTGTACGCAATTCACTGTTATTTGCTGTTCGATATATTTTCTTTTGATGTATAACATGTGGTCGATGTGTTAATTCACGTAAGGTGTTGATATGAATGATGGAATTGGCTGATCCTGTATCGACCATTGCATTGACTAATTTATGATTAACATGAAGACTAACAATAAGTGGTGTAGATGGATTTTTATTATTACTAGGGACAGTACCATCACTTGCTGTCCCTGTTATTCTTTTAAATGATGTGGACAATATCGTTGTATATGTCCTACTTGTCCACATTGAAAACATTTCCGATGATCGACATTCTGATAGTTGTTGTTGTTGATGATTTGATGATTATTGAATGATTTCCGGTGTTGTTGATATGATGAAATAGGTGTTGTTGTTGTTATTTGTTGTTGACTCCAATTGGAATGTATTGTTGGTTGATTAAAACTCGGTTGATTTCGTTGGTGTTTTTCTGTTCGTTGTGATCGATGTACTTCTTGTCTATGTGGTTGAGTTGCAGCAATCATTGAATAGCCATTGGATTCATATGTATATGTTGGTTCAGTTAATTCGAAGGGCGCGTTTTGTTTCCGATGATGTGCCGTAACCTTTTCGCTGGATTCGAAATTCTTTGCTTGAATCATAAATTTTTCTGGTGTTTGAACGTTCAATAGTAACATTTTTTTCTTTTAATTCTGCTCGTAATCCACCAACTAATTTAATTGTTCTATCGATGGGTGACATTTGTGGGTCATATTCACGACACAATTTGTCTAGTACGTAGTAATAATCATGTACTGATTCATCAGTACTTTGTTTACGTTGGTTTATTTGTTCTGCTAATAAATGTCGATTTTGTGTTCGTTCAGGTGGAGGAAAAGCTCGTTCAAATGCTTGAAGGAATGCTATCCACGTTGCATAAGGTCCTTGATTGTCACGATAGCAATCAAATGCATTATCTTCTAGTTTAATTCCAATTCGAGCCAAACGATCAACGTCGTTGATGTTGAATGCGGTAAAAACAATTTCAGCTCGATCACACCAATCACGTGAATTATCTTGAGGTGTACCATGGAATGTTTTAATACTTTCAAATGCTCGTGTTGTTGGGTCAACCATGATTGCGGTTAGTGGATTTCGTTGATTGTGATGTTGATGGTGATTCCGTTGTTGGTGATTTCGTTGATGATTCCGTTGATGATTGTTTTGTCGAACAGGTGACTGACGAGGGCGAAGATCATAAGGAGAAGCCAGTGTGGTGACGGAATTTGAATTAGTATTTTCACCAGCTTCCGTGAATAATTTAATTTGATTTCTTGGTCCGGTTGTTGTTTTTCAGTCGATTGACTTGGGTCACGGCACCAGTGTTATCGAGCTATTTATTCTGTAGAAATTGACCCTTTATATACCAGCGTGAGAGACGAAAATTTGGGCCAATTTTAACAAAGAAAAATGACGTAGCTGAAATTTCAACAAAGGAGTGACGAGACTAACTGCGCAATAGGAGAACAATGCATGAGAAATTCAATAATTCTCATACAGCAGAGAAAGGAATGAGAGACAGAGAAGGGAGAGAGAAAAAGAAAAACAAAGATTGACCTAGATTTGGGCTAGTGGACAGAGAGGACAGAACGAAAGAAAGAAAAGAAAATAAACATATATACATATGATAGACCACGTGCATGGAGAATAACTTACAGTTAGAGCACTCTCTAACAACATCCACACAGTGTATCTAGTAGTTTATAATATTACATAGTGAACTATTCCCTCACTTTATCAGACACTCTTTATTTGGATTTTTCTAATACATTCTAATACGTCCACATTGATATTTTTCCTATTCTCCTGTGTACATGTATACATATATATATATAAGGGCTCCGTGTTCTCTTATCCATCGCCACTTTCATTCTTTTATTTTATTTCTGTCGTTTTTTTCTTCTTCTATTTTGGTCGTCTTTTTCTTTGATTATTGTCGCTCTTATATAAACATCTTCTCAAGTGTTATACAAATAAATCGAACTTACACATATACAAGAACAGAACTTCTTTCATATCAGCTTTGAAATTCTTCGAGTATGCCAAGGAAAACCAATTCATCTGAACAAGATAATTCAAAAACTTTAGCTGATTCAGATTTAGAAACTGAAATCTATACTGATTCTGATTATTCAACACAAGATTCTAATGAAAATGGAGAAGCGCCTCCATCAAAAAAGAAAAAAACAGAATTTCTCAACTGAAAACATGGAAAATTTGTTCCTAAAACATTCTATTTCAATAATGCAAATGCAGGAATAATAAGTGATTTAAAGTTAGGAAGTGATCCTATTGATTATTTTGAACTATTTTTCGATCAAAAAGTTATGGAATATATTGCCGAAGAAACTCATAAATATCAACAACAAGTCACACAGCAAAGTGGTATGCAACAAACTTCCAGGAAATGTATGTTTTATTGCAACAGCCATGCTGATGGGCACAGTACAGAACAATGCGCTCAAAGAATATTGGTCAATAGATCCTGTTATTATAACTCCAATATTTAGAGAATTATTTTCAAGAGACAGATATCTTTCAATTATCCCGATGCTTCATTTCGTCAATAATGACGACAACAACTCAGGTAAACTTCATAAAATATTGCCGATTATTCGTCATATGCAAGGAAAGTTTCCGCAATTTTTCAAACCTTTCCAAAAATTATGTATTGACGAAAGTTTATTAGCATTGTAAGGGCGTTTATCATTTAAGCAATATATCCCACCAAAAAGGCATCGATTTGGTGTCAAGTTATTCATTCTCTGTGATTGTGAAACAAAATACATACTGGATTTTATTATATATACAGGTGCTGATACAGAAATTGAAAGGATAGATAAGATGGGAGTATCTGGATCTATCGTAATGACACTGATGAAACCTTATCTTCAAAAAGGACATTTATTATACGTAGACAACTGGTATACAAGCCCAAAACTATTTTTGGAACTTTATAATCAAGGTACAGGAGCAGTAGGGACAGTAAAGAAAAATAGAAGTGGCATGCCTTCTTTGAAAGATAAGTTGAATAGAGGAGAGCAGATATATAGACATTGTGAGTCGATGTTAGCTATAAAATGGATGGATAAACGTGAAGTTTATATGCTATCAACTATTCATGATTCACAAATGATTGCAATTGACAAAATTGATCACAATACAGGAAGACAAATTATGAAACCTGTCTGTGTTCAAAATTATAATGACAATATGGGTGCAATCGATTTAGTTGATATGCAATCAAGTTTTACCGAATGCATTAGAAGAACACTCAAATGGTATAAGAAATTCTTTTTTCGTATCGTTGACATGGCTTCAATCACTGCTTTTTATTTATATAAAACGCAAAATTCAAAGAATTTACAGTTGAAAGAGTTTCGTCTTCAACTGATAAAAAATATTTTATCAAAATATGGTAATCAAAAACACATTTCAACTGGAAGACCACCAACTGATTCACCACTACGGTTATCAGCTAGACACTTTCCATCATGTGTGCCTCCCCAACGGCCTCAAAAACAGTTGCCCAAAGGAAGTGTCATGTATGCTCTCATACAATATAACGTGAAAAATCAATCAAATACACAAGATATCAGTGTGAAGAATGTAATGTTGGGTTATGCATAACTGATTGTTTTCAAGCTTATCATACCTTAAAATACTTTTGATAATGATTTTTCATTGAATAAACATCTATTTTAACTCTAATAATAGGCTTAATTTAAAAAAAACCCGTCACCAAAGGGATAGTGATGAATTATTAATGATGGAGCATTCACATCATTGTCATCACCGTCGACATAGTGCTTCTCAATGTAGTGCAGAGTGCATTGATTTTATGAATTTTCTTCAAGAAAAAATCGAAATCAACAAAGTAAAAGAGCACGTCGAGAAATTATGGGCATCACTAGGCAAAATATACGAGCACCTTAGTCGCATTGCTACTCGATTTGGTGCTATCCAAAATCATTTCGGTCAAATTCATCAACAACGATGACCGGGAGGAGGCAAACGATATAAATTTCTCTAAAAACTTTTTTCTATCCGTCATTCTTGTTGTTGTTGTCTTTTTCATGTTAATAAACACTTCTCATTAATAAAAAAAATATATTCGTTGAGTTCGAAAGTTACGCTAAATAAAAGACATTTGGTATTGTAGAACAGGAGTCTCGATTACGTTAGACGTACAGATGTGTTCTTCATCTTCACAATGATTTCGACGAATAAGCGGCCTATTCCCTTCTTATTCCTAAGCGAAAGGAATGCTACTTGTTCCTATCAAGGATAATTAGGAAAGATGTTCATAAGAATATGGACGGAATATACGAAAACTTAGCGAAGATTTCTATCTGTGGCGGTATATAAAAATAGTGTCGTGTTTGAGGGAAAGATTATTATGAAATTCGTGATAATGAAAGTGAAAGTCATTGTGATATCACATGTAGACATGGGTATATTTGGAGACGTTCATACTTTTGTACTTACATCCAATGTTTTTTTTCGAAAAGTCACATGCCTGTACACTGGTGTTGAGTAGCAGAAGAAGTCTCGATCATGTTAGATATACACGTATGTTGTTCTTCATCTTCAGAATGGCTCAGAAGAATAGCGCAAATTCTCTTCTTCCTATTTCTAAGGAAATAAAATACTCCTTATTCTTGTCAGGGATAACTAATAGATGTCTATCAAGCTACTTGATAAACATAAGAAATCTCATTCAAGATTTCTATGTGTGAACGGTTCTATGTAGTGGAGTGCTGAGGGCAAGTCCACTATGGAATTGATGATACTAGATACGGACACATATTTTTCTCTGAAGACATTCGTACTTTTCTACTTATCTCAGATGTTTTCGTTCAAAGTCACAGGCCTGTGGATTAATGTTAAGTAGAAAAGGAGTCTAAATTATATCAGGCAGAAGTATGCATCCTATGGATGTCTTGAAAGAGATCCAAGTTTGTATGCTAGTTAATTTGAAATGAATCATACAAACAATCTATATGCTTATCATATAGAACAAGAGACATCCCATGTAAATATTTTTTGTATCAAAACGCGTGTTAATCGCGTTCAATTTGCATCTAAATTGCAGCACTCGAACGCGTTTTTGTGCGTCTCCAGTGAAACATTTCGTGCGTCTAGATGCGATTCCAAACCAATTGCGTTTACACGCGCTTGCTTAAAAAGTCGCGTCTAGATGCACGAAATGTTTCACTGGAGACGCGTTTGTTACAAACTATGTGCGTCTAGACGCAATTCAAAAGGAAATCATAATCGAACGCGATATGAAATACGATCGCGTCTAGATGCGTTTGACTAAATTTTTAAAATTAAAAAAGAATATCACAATCCGTCTCAGGTTTGATCTGAATCGCCATCGATAACCTCTAACGATGGTCTTTACCTCACTATAGGCCAACGGAATGTTTTTATATTGATATAGCTAGAATGATATAAACGAGATTAGAACAAGCGAACAAGCGATTAAGAAGCAAGTATACATACCGTGAAGTCACATGTGATCACAATCATTGTCATATGAATGAGAAAGGATATATGAATCGTGAATTTGTACATTTACATAATATGTAAATGCATGTATTAGTCAAATAGTTTTGGCATAGATAATATTTTAATTATTAATATTTCCATTTTCGTGTAAAAAATAGTTTGGATAAAATGGTCTGTATAGATATTTTCTTTTAATTTTGAAAACTTTTTCTTTGAAATCATTTTCGTCTATTTTTTTTCTATGAAACGAATTTTTTTTCAATTTGAAATATCACTGATATTTTTTTATTTATTATTTAATTATTATATTTTACCATGTCTTTTCTTTTTATATTTCCTTTTTATCCGGTAATATGAGTATCAGAAAGAATTTTTAATTATTCTAAAAATCAAAATCCATATAAATTTTATTTTATTTTTGATAAGTATTTGGACAAAATTTGTTTAAAATCGAATAAAATAAGATAGTTGAATTGAATAAAAATATCTCAAGAGATTTATTGTATTTATCAGTGGATTGATATTTTCACTGGTATGGTAGTCATATTCTTTAATGGCATAAACAACCGAACATAATAAACATCCAAAAGTCACAGTAATATGTACTATTGGGTTAATTATAATAGGATATAAAAATCCTTTAAAGAAACTTGAAAATCGGTGACGGCTTAATGTTTTTCGAATCAGATGTATACTATACGATATGATTGCGATTAATATTTTCTGGTAGATTTACATGCATACTATTGCTTTGTATGCTCTCCAATATGAATATTTAATACATATAGAAGTTTATATACAATGCTGCGATATTTCCTTTTTTTGTTAATCAACCTTAAATTATGTAAAATAACTCAGAGGATGGTATCCTGATGAATTTATTGGAGAATGACACACAGAATTTTTTTTATATATCTTACAGTATATATATGAACATTGATTATATTGAAAGTGATATTTATCCAAGTAGTTGATGATGCAAAAGTGCAATCTCGTTTATAAATTTAATATAAAAAAAATACTAGAAATGGTTTAACTTGATATTTTCGATCAAATACAGAATAATATACAATATTCAGAATTTCAGTACATACATTTTTCATGTAATAATCAAAATTTGTTTTGATATGTGCCTGTACGTTTAAAGGGAAAGTATACATCTTAAAAATTCGTTAAACTTTAGTTCTCATTAATCGCATACAAACGCGCTTCACCTTACTATCGCGTCCAACTGCGTTCGAAAAGTGTATAGACTTGCGCCTAGATGCGGTTTTATGTGAGATCGCGTTCGGACGCATGTCAACGGACTTTACTAGACGCGTTTGTTCGCGATTTTAGTTAACATCGCATCCACACGCGTTCGAAAATGTTGAATAAATGCGCTTAGACGCGGTTTCATAATGTGACCGCGTGTAAACGCATTCCAACAGAGGTCATCAATCGCTTGTAAACGCGGTTTTCTTGACAATCGCGTCGAATTGCGTTTCAAAGCTGTTTGAAACTGCGTTTAGAAGCGGTCAAATGTAAAACTGCGTCTATACGCGATATAATTTTGTTTTTTTTGCGCTTAGATGCAGTCAAGTACAAATGTGCGACTAGACGCGATAAAAACTGATTTTTACCCGCGTCTAGATGCGGTTTTCAACAAAAACGCAGTTGAACGCGTTTATTCTGCGTCTCGTGTTTACATGGGATAGTACAACATTGCTGTATAAAGAAAACAAAATGTATGGATGTATATTGATCTAATAGAGAACATAATATATGAATGTGACCACGATTTAGGTCCTAATCTTAGTATAGCGTGTCACTTATGTCTTCTTCATCGAACTTACATCATAGTTCGATGGCCGATTACTATTGTCATTCAGTCGTGGTAACTCTTGTTCATTGTAATTCAGATTGAATGGAAGACATATTCAATGAAAATGTCGATAGGACGATGAATACAGTGAACATAAAGCCACCTGATGAAGCCTTTGAGCAGGGCTGAAACCATCTATTAATAACTATATTATATTACTAGAGTGCCTCTGTGTGTGTGTTTATGTGATACGGTTTAGATATGATGAACAAAAGAACAAAGGACATGTTCGATTGTTATATTTATTATAAACACTTGGAGATTTATCATCTTCTTCGGTAGTTGTAGACAGTTATTTTTCTTTTTTGGATAAAAGATGTTGATGAAACTGCTAGAATCAGGTAATATTGATGACAACAGACAGACGCTTAACATCTATATGTATAAAGTCGTTGGAATAAATTACTCTTTGGAACTCTATTCTTAACAGGATTATTGTTCAATAAAATGTTTCTGATCAGTTTTCATGTGTTGTTGTTGTTTTCATGAAACACGATTTTGATTCTTCGAATAGAACTCTATATAAAGACGTTTATTCTTTAATATTCTAGATTGAAATCTTTTTTCTTGATTATATTATTGTTGAATGGCTGATAACAATAATATAGATAATCGAAATAATACTTACAACAATATATCTCCAGATTCACAAGATCGATTGTGTGAAATGCTCTCACCAACACAAGTGAATATTGAAGAAGGGCACAATGATATTGTTATGAAGAAAGAATCGAAATGTCATGGCAATCGAAAATTGCAACATTTCAAACGAAAATGTCGAGCACGAGATTTAACAGAAGAACAAATTATTGCATTAATTCGTACAAGAAATGATGAAATATCTGAACAACTACGTATGAGTATGTATTGCAATCGTAATATTTTCAAAAGAAAACACCCGTTTGCGCCGAAACTTTTAGGATATTCTAAGAACTAAGAGGCCTACATACGGCAAAAATTTCAGCTCGAAATTCCTTTATTTGGAAAAGAACATTGCTGTTGGATTTTTGGATTTTGAGAATCCAGAAATCCAAAAGAAATCGTAAAATACAAAAACACAAAAGAAATTCTAAAATTCAAAAAAATCTGAAAATCTAAAATCCGCCGTTTCCCCTGGGTTTACTATTATCGTAATGCAGCGTAAAGCATCGTATATGATTTCTGAAAATAGTAAGTATATACAGTTGGCTTTACGACCGTTTACGGCAATATCCAAAGACCGTCTACAGTGACCGTATTGTCATCCCTGTTGTAAACGATGTGAGTTTATTGGTATAGTTTACTGTTATCGTAATTTGCTGTAAAGTATTGTATATGATGGTCGTAAACAGTTACTATCAACAGCAGCCTGCTAGGTGGTGAATCACTAGATGTATAAGATGGAGAGAAAGTTGTCCCTTCTAGTCTAACTGGTTAGGACATCTGCCCGGTAAGCAGAAGGTGCGTGGTTCGAGTCCCACGAGGGGACTAACTTTTTATCTCCATTCTGTTGTATGTGTTCCGCTCCTATATCGGCTTATAACATCTTTACAGGCCGCATCCTGCCGTAATTGATATGTGTACGGCCGTTTACGACCAGGCATCATTGACCTGGGCGACGACTCGAGAGTACTGTAAGAAAGAATGTTGGATATAAAAATCATGATTTGAGTTTGCTTCTGTCATTTGATGGTAAGGTTTATTTAAAGAGACATTTGTCGATTGGTTCCCAAACCATCGAATAAATGATAATTGAAGCAGACTCGTGAATTATCAAACTATTGGCAGTAGGATTTTTACATTGCTGTTTAACGATATATGTACAGTTTTCAATACCTGCTATTGTGGAATTATCCAAGTTGCACAAGTATGCGTAAGCCATCTGTATATATATTTTAAATAACGCGATTTTATGTCGCACTATGTACATGGTAGTATTTTTTTACACTTGAAATCTGATATGTTTTTCTTTCCAAACTTCGGTCGCAATTCGTATGTTTTTTTCTGTATGTTTGTCCGTTATAGTAATTATTTCTGGCGCCTTATTTTGACATATTTACTTTCAGTGTATCGAAATACAAAGTTGCATAAAAAATTACAAAAAAAATTGAGCTGATATTAATACGAACGCAAAAGGAAAGAAAAAAATTACTGAGATTTCTTTCATTTAATATAAGAAAAAAAGAAAAATCATATGAGATACAGTCGAAAAGGAATTAAGGTGACGGCTGCGCAAAATTTAAACGGTTTTTAGTTATTTATTTTATTATTTTAAAGCTTCTCATACGTTAGAGGACACCTATACTAGAAGACGCCCCAGATTAGAAGATCCCTGTTACCGCTAATTTTTTTAACATTTTTGTCGTATTTATATTTATTGGATCTTACAATAAGGTAGTCTTTGTGAAATATTCTTTTCTAGTTAAAATGTAGGCTTTTTTAGTTAACTGTACTCGCAAAGAGAACGTAATCTAAACATTTAGTAACTGAATAACCAGCATAAAAACATACTTTTATTAAGACTGTCAATGAGCATAGCAAAAAATTACCGTTTTTGAAGAACATATCAAAAGACTCCTTTGGAATCTGTGTACAATCAGATAAAATAGAAGCCTTCGAGTCTACTAATGCATCGATGGCTTTAGTAAATTTCTAGTACGGAAGAGGTATATTTCTGTTTACCCTATACAACAGTGTAAATTGTTTACTGAGTACTTCTGCGTAATAATAGCAGGTACTAATAAAATACGTCTTTTGCAGACCTTTGAATATTGTTATAGACATATGAAAGATCTATAAAATTCTTATCAATCGCCAATTTAACTCATATTCTTTTCTGTCGATTTTTTTGAAATTACTTTACTATGGAAGAGGGTGTGGGTGTGGGTGTGGGTGTGGACTGGGATAAGAGA